CTTCCAAAAAAAAGAGTGTAGTACCACAGACTCTAAATTGCCCCAGCACTTCTACAGGAGATAAAAGGCCCGGGGGACTGGATGGAGATTACACCACATTAGTTCTGTGCCCAGGGAGCAACGCCCCCCAAAAAACACAATCCGGTAGTGCGCGTGCTTCAAAAACAACACTTCACTCTCTCAAAATTATGTTCGGTCTTGACCAATCTATTTGGAAGAAGAGCGTCTCAAGAAGTGGTGGGTGGCCTTCACCTCAGCGAACGTACCTCAAAACAATGTACCTCCCCCGCGCCGACGGTCACCCCCCACTTCTTCTAACGCCACTTCTTCAAAATAGACTCGCCCAGGCCGAAAACCAACTTCTGCGCACGGGCCACGAAGTTTCAATCACACTGTACGTGCACTCCCGCACGTGGTATTTTGTGGAAGAGCCACACTCAAGGGGCCAAAGAGCCACATGTGGCTGTGAGCCATGGTTTGCCGACCACTGCGTTATACCGTCAGAATGACGTAGCGTAAATTAAGGTCTAGCTGGGGCCAAATTCTAACTTTCAGAAAGACCTGACAGTCCACGTTCCCGATGACTATAACACTGTTTAACCTCATCTTCCTACTGAACTGTACGCTCCTTCAGGGCAGGGACTGTGCCTTTTTCTATTTTGTGTGCCCCACAAGCACGGTCTGGTATAGCGCCATATACACAGAAGATGTTACATAACATCTTGTTAACTGGACCCTGTATTACTACAGAGCTTTCGGTGTTCACAGTGCTGACGAAGGACTAGGTCCAGTTCTTGTCATCTACCAGTCTGCCTGCACAAGGAAATGAGATGGAAACCAGCCCCCTGAACTGCCTAAGCATCTCTCCTCCCCAACATCTCCCAACATGTCCAGAAGGCCACCAAACTAAAATAGTTTTCATCTTCTCCCCACGCTGGCACTGTAAGTGACCAGAAAGAATTCTTCCCCGTGCTATTTTTATTCACCTCCCAGCTGTGGGTCCCTCCCTCTCCCTCTGTAAACCCCCATCCCTGGCAGCCTTAGGAAATGCCAAGGGAGTGGGACTTTGGATAATGTCTTGGGAATCCGAAACTGAGGAAGACAGGCTGATTCCCCCCCCCCTGCCCCCCCCCCACCGAGTTTCCTTTCTCTTACTTCCCCTTTCAGACTTCCTAAACCTGCTTTCTTTCTAACCAAATATACACTACATCGTTGCTGCTGTTCTTTGACTATAGTTTGACCTTCTTCCTGAATGCAGTGATGTTCTCTGGGCTGGCCCGAAACACTTGCGGAATAGGCTCAGTTGCCTTCAGTTCCTTTCCCCAAACCCTTTCAACATTTTTCTTCTAGTTACAGGTCCTCTCCCTCCAAGGACCCTGCTGATGTTGTAACTCTGCAAGGTCTTACTCCCAGCTGGCTCTCAGGGACTGAGAAAGTACCGGCTGATGAGAAGGTTGTGAACTCATATATGATTAAGGTCCTCCTCTCTAGCTCTTAATCCACCTCCCACCATAGATATGAGCATTTCCATCGAGGAAATGAGAAGGCCCACTAGTCCCAAAAGAATGCGGCAATAATGGTAAAGGGACCAACATTGGTGTTGAAATTTGGGGCAAAGGCTAGTCACCCGTGCTTGGCTCTAAATATTTCCTCTTCTGGGCTCCCATTCTGCTGTGATGTTAATGTGAGGTGAATTTCTTACAGTTTCTTTTATTGAAAGTTATCTGCCTTGGTCATAAATTTAGATATGCCAGCAAAATACCCTGGTGTGTGTGTGTGTGTGTGTGTGTGTGTGTGTGTGTGTGTGTATGTACACCTATCTATGAGGAGGAAGATGGGGCCACCCTGAATACAGTACTCGAGTTTTATCTGATGTCATTCACCTTGATAGCCTTGTATTTTCAAAATTAATAAAAAGCATCAGAGAGCCTTGGCCACTGGGCTAAATAGTCATCCGTGCCAGACATTAAGTGTGAGGGCACATATCACAGTTTGGGATTTAAACAGAAACATCAATGCCCTACAGGAAATCTACAGCTGCAGAGCAGACTTTCCTACCAGCCAGTGCTTTCTTTGTCGGTGCCTGCTGATGGCACATACTTGTATGTCCCAGCATTTGATTTTATTCTGCTTTTGTTTGGGTTCCTTCATATTCCTCTCCCTCCCGAGAAGCAGAGGCTGGGGGTGTGGGTGGAGGTCAGAGACAATCAAGAGTCAATAGCAGAGTCAGAGGCTACCTGGCCAGGGCACTTTCTGTCAACACCTGTGGCCCAGAGGGTTAGCCTTCCAGACATGAGCTCCTGATGGCCTGGGAGCCTAGGAGTAACCTGTGCCCTCAATGCTTTCTCCCAAGAGCCATGGGCACCCCCAGGCTCCCCCACTTTGTAAACTGCCCACTGCTCTTACTGCCGGGAACCAGGCACGATGGCAGAACCAGCCTTAAGCTAAGAAAGCACTTTGGAGCGAGCCTGCAATCCCCTCTCGTGAATTCTTTACAAATTTGCTCTGAGCTGCACTAAGAAAACTCCAAGGACTTCCTATTTCTTTCTTAATAATGAACAGGTCTCTTTCATATAGAAGCAAAGCTTCTCAGGGCTTCATAACCAGCCAAAAACCATTGCTTCTCTTGCAGCTGAAAAAAAATTGATTTCTCCCTGGAGACATAAGCTTACTTGTTTTTTTTTCTCTTTCTTCTCCTTTTTCTTTTATCATATGCTGACCAAAAATAAAACATTTCTAACAGTGGCTTAGAAGAACTAAGATTGTACCAACCTCTCAAAACTACTGCCAACACAATGTTGTGCTTAAGCACAGCAAGGACTAAACGTGTATTTTCTCTAAAGATAGCTGAAGAACACTTCACATGTACGTTTTACTTTTCCTCTAGTATACAATGACCACAACCAAGACTCCGGCACATTAATTTTTCTAGTAAATAGAAAAGAAAAAAAACAACAAATAGGGCATAGCACTTGTAACAATTTATCCAAAAAGTAGTAAGTGACTCCCAAAAGCATTCTGATACCAAAACATCGCCTACATGGCCCCTCTGGTTTCCTGCTGGATAACATTAAAACGGAACCGAATGTAAAGGGTTTCCCCCAAAGAGGTAATGCTAGCAGGCCTGGAAGCTTAAGAGCCCTAAGATAAAATACAAGGTAGCTCCATTTTCAGGGGGAAAACTGCATTTACAAGCAGCAAATTTGCCTGCGGATTGGCTGGTCAAGGGACTCCACGCAGAGAATGAGTGGTGCTATTGTAACCGCGCAGACGGTGGGGCTGGGAAAGGAGTTTCTTGCTGTCAACATCTAACTACTGCGGCTGGACTGGGTAAAAACTGTATTTTTCTCTCTTCTCCTGCTCTTTGGACACTTTGTTTTTAATGAATACTTGGTATCAGAGCTAAGTCCAAACACTGTTACATGTGGGATTTCCTAATGCTGAGACCTGGCAGGGCGGCACTGTGTTCTGCCAAAACACTACGCAGAAATGAGACTACTTCGAAGCGTAACAACTGGACATCCTCATTCTCGTTCAGCGTTTGCATTTAGTGGGAGCAAATGTTTTGCTTTAATGCAATTGAAAAGAAAAGAACATTTAGGGACAACCTAGCTCGATCCCTCATAAAGCTTCATTTTCCAAAGCAGTATGTGAATCTCTAAATAAATGACAATTCATTCTCTGTTTACTTTAGGTAAACTGAAAACGCATTGCGGAGTACTCATTCTCAAAAGCTAATCAAGAACATTAGGTCCCAACAGATTCATTTAATAGAAATATAATAGGCATTCCTGCTTGCTTTTCATCTTGTCTCGCTGTAAATGCTAAAATGAACAGCAAATTAACCCTGCATTGGAACGGAGTCCCTGTCACAGCTGATATCCTCTCTCTCGCGACGTGTAAACATCCCGCATCCTGTCGCTGCTTTGACTTCAACTTAGGAGAGACGAAAGTGCCTGACTGAGTTTGGCAAGAGGCTGTAGGAATACTTGAATGCTAAAGGGAGAACTGCATGTCAACCCTGCTATCTTTCCTAGCAGAACAAAATATTACCACGTCGTCTCCTAAAATAGTGCACAATTAGGAAGTAGGAGGAGGGTGGGGGGTGGGACTGTTTTTTTTCCAAGCTCCATGTATCAACTGCATTTCTCTATATTTTTAACTTTACTAGCCATTCTCCAAACGGCTGCTTATAAACTACTATACAAAACAAGCTAATAAAGACAGGGCCATCCAAGCTCTATAATCAGATATAAAAGATTTGCAAACAACTTGAGATCTTATAATTAATATTCAGTGATATCAGAATTAGCATTTAGAACTCTATACAGAAAAAACTATAATACTTCATAAATTATGTAATAATGAACAAACCCTTTCAAAAACTGTTTTCACTGTGCTAAAGTAACATTCTAGACTTGTTGTAAGTATATTATTCTTACAAGTAGTTCGCAGTTATTCTTGAAGGCAAGCCTTGGAGTTTCCTTAGCATAGTGCTGCTGGGGGAAATTTTCAGCATGTCCATCTTCATCTCTAGCCTGAAGGGAAATATAATGGCCTATTTAGGGACTTACAAATAATGGAAGAAAAAAAAAAGCTAAAAGCATAACAGCTCAGATCATTAAACAAACGGGAATCCAGAAATAACAACATCATTAAGAAGTTTGTTTAAACACGCAGTATGCCTTTTAGATATCAAAATTTGGGATTTATTTTTCTTCACATAGTTTAGTTTGAACATGCAAATTCCTTGTGGTGCAATATTTAACATTTTTAAATATTAAGCCAACCAACAGTAAATCATTTTGTTGGAAATCGCCACCACTGTAGTCTTTCAGTGACTTTGGTTGTACATTTAGGATTATCTGACATACATATGTGTTTAAACTTTTTGGCATGCTTAAGCAATCTCTAGATAATGCACTTTTAAAAAATTCTGATAGCAAGGCCATAAGAAAAGCAATTTGCATAGTTATATTTTGCATTGTAATACTATTAGAGATAAACTGATTCCCCTCGATTTTTAAATAAAAATCCGAAAGGAGCAATGATCTCGTAAGAACAATGATTCTTCAATCAAATGCAGTAAAAAAAAAATAGATTTAATTAAGAAGCTGCATTAAAAGTTACTGGTTATTTTGATCTACGCTGTTAATTAAGAAAGCTGAAGTGTAAATGGAGACATGAACAGAACCCATCAGCAATACCGCTTGCACACCGTCTTCTCTTTCTAATCTCCACCGGTTGCTGGTTTGGAGTTGGAGAGAAGGGAGAGGTAGGTGAAAGGAGGCGTGTCTGCAGCACACTCATTAAATCACTCATTTGGGTGACACTTGCACTCGGCTCTGCTCTCATCTCATCGTAGCCCTAACGGCTCGCTCCTTCCTGGCCTCCTGAAATTCACAGCTGAGCTGTCTCCCTCACATATGGCTTGCATATAATTATGCATATTCCATTTTGCACTGCATTAAAATGATGAGCTCCTGGCTCCCTGCCAGCTGGTTTTTAAAAGCCCAAGCGAAGTAGGAAAGAGGAGAGAAACACAGGGAGAGCTGCACAGGAAGCAGCAGGTAGTTCTGTCTGCTGTCTCTTTAGATAAAATGTATGTCTGGCACCAGGGGAGCAGCTGAGAACTACCTGTTGTGATGTATGGATTGAGGCGGAGGAAACAATGAGCGCACGTCTGAGGCACAGCGGTGACAGCGCCCACGGGCTGTTTCTCCCCTAATGGAGTGAGATCTTCCCGCTGACACGTGTCACTCAGAGCGCCTCGGCGGGACGGGGACTGTCCTTCTAGAAAGGGATCCGTGCTGGGTGCGATCGAGAATGGATTGCTTGTTTTCAATAAAGGCTGCTGCTACGTATGGCAGGGTGGGAACTGGATACAATTTGGAAGTGGAATGTCCTAGGCGGTAATATGTGGGTTTTGAGAAGTTTGTGAGGGGGAGAGATGGCTCTGTTTTGGTTTCATTTTTGAGATTGATCAATATCACTGGGATTTAGTGCCTTTGTATGGTACCCCACCACCACCTCCACCACCACCTCCACCACCCAATCAGAGTAAAATAAAAACACAGTTAAAAGATTGGACTACATGTGACAGAGAAACCAGCGATGTTTCTTCTCACTGCATCAGTGCTAGTCTGCAGCTCCATGAGGGTTTCACACAGCCTTAAAGGGGGCCTGTGTTAATGTGGAGTGTATACAGAAAGGCGGGTGTAAGAAGGTAGTAAAGTGCTGGTGGGCAGGACAATGTCAGATTCTTCGTAGCTGAAATTGAAGCCACTCTGTGAGGCGCAGGCCTTTCGGAGGTAGGGACATCTTTCTTATCTTTCTTACTCTGCCATGCCCGGTGCCTTATTTTCAGTCAGTACTTAACAAACATCTAGGTGATGGGAAAAACCCATACAAGGATGGTAACTAGACCCTACCATAACAACTCTGTAGAAAATGCCACCTCAAAATATGCTAAGCTTGGTGGGAGGTTTATTATATTCCTGATACACTGGAATACATATGCTTGGAAACACACTTTGCAGATAGTTTACAAGGGCTACTATTTACATATGTATGTCTACACTCAATATATATGTATCTTGTGTATAAATATTCATAAGGTGGGATATGTTTATTATGCATGTACTCTCTATACACATTCATACACACCAGATGCCTGGGGATATTTTCAACATTAGTGGGAAAAATACGTTCATTCCACTTATATGTAAGGTGCTCACAGGGCTTTTTATGTTTTTTAAAGGAAGAAAACAAATCTAAGGCTTGAATGTGCTTCCTCAAAAAGGCTACGGATTTCACATTAAGCCTCTTAATTTAGGAGGTTAAGCAAAGCAGCAGTGCAAGAAACGGGAGAGGGGGTGTGGGGTGGTTGGAAGTGAAGACAGAAAGCCAGAAACTTGCTTCTTTATTGAGGCATGTACCTGCCTCTGCAGCAAACTCCCAGAGCCCTGGACATGGTCTGCCTCTGACAATCAACCTGATTCCGGGTCCAGGGAGCGCCACTGGCCGTGTTTCCACCGCGTGCCAGAGACGGAAAGCGCACAGCGTGCAGGGAGACCGGCACGACCACCCCACGTGGTTGTGTTGCACACACACACACACACACCTGTCTCCAAAGTGGCTCCCTCTGCATGCTGAAGATTTTTAAGGTAAATTTTTTATTATTCTTACCTGACTAAATTAAACTAACCTCATGCATGTATGGCAGTAGTTCTCTATACTGGCTGCATGTTAGAATCATCTGGGCTGATTGTTTTGCTAACATGTTGGTCCCTGACCTCCCCTCACCTTTCCAAGATTCCAATTTAGTAATTGGCCCAGAGTGTTTTTGTGGGTTTTTTGTTTTGTTTTGTTTTGTTTTAATAAAAAGCTCTCAGGTGATGGTAATGTTCGAGCGGGGCTGAGAACCACTGATCTAAGGAGAGTGCTGACTGGTATCAGGAGGAGGCTCTTGGCAGAGTTTTCAGAACATTCTCTAACCACATCGGAGTGACCTGCTCACAACACTAGGAGGAGAAAGGATGTGGCCCCTGAGGTGGGTCTCACCCTAAAGATTCAAGAAATGACTTGACTAGCTACTTGTGGGCAAAAAATTATCTTTAGTTTCTGGTGTAACAAATAGTCTTAGAAGAACTACTAGACACTTCCTAGGAGGCCTTCCTGGGCCTCTCGAACCAAGTCCATATCTCCACGCTGCCCTCTCTTGGAATAGGCACAGGTGCACCCTGCCGCTGGGTGGTGGGATTTGTGCCTCTCTCACTAGACTGGAAGCTCCCCGAGGGGAGGGTGGTGGAGCCACAGCCGGGTACGCAGTAAGTGCTCTGCACGTGTGGGTTCCATCATCATTCCGCAGCAGCAACTTGGTGACAATGGTAGACAAAATCTGAGGGAACTTCCTTACCCTCCATGTCAAATCATTTTAGAACATTTTAGAACCTCTTCTACAGGGAAGCCAGGGCCTTCTTCTACATCTGCCCCATTTGGGCTGGCAGACAACAGCATATCTGCCAGGTTGGGGGAGGGCAGAGAGAGCTGATGACCCCTTCAGGGAGGGGTGTTTGAGCCCTGAAGATGCTCAGAATCACCGGTCATGGTAATAATATAAAGCAGGCCGACGTTCATCTGGTCTTATTAGTGTTCTTAAACTCTCTATGGATGATGCCTTCTCTATTTGCCTATCTCAGGCAGACTACCCTACTCCCAGCTCTTGGGATCTACTGGGGCCAGGAGACCTGTGTTGATGTCTGACTTTGTTCTGGAATGACCCATTCTGACATAAGAAATGTCCAGCTACATCATAATGAACTAACTCTCTCCATGTGTCGTATTCTCAACAGTCTTATCCTAACATGTTAGGACATGTATGCCCACCATGGGAAAAAGCAAATGGGAAACTATTGTTTTACGTTTGACTACAAATATGATTGTCAGACCAAAGGTGCATTTTTGATCTATTATCCTAAGACACCTTTACTTATGCCATCAAATAGAAATAAAAATTAAAAGTCTTCAATTAAACTGCAAGGAGATCGCCCCATCTTGCTGATAGCCATTTATCCATTCTCATGCAGTGCCTAGCATTTGAATAAATACTAGGTTATGTGAGCAACTTAGACTAATTGCCTCTCTACTTCAAAAACCCCTGCCTAAACAAACTTTGTCTTCACCCCTCTTTCCCTGTGAATCATCACTAATTCACTTTTTTATTTTGATTCTTCCCCACAACAATCTTTAGTGCTCTTTCAAAGAAACTACTTCTTCCTTGGGCCAAAGTCTGGGTGGCATGTGCATATTCCAGCAAGAGCAACATTCTTTCTCTTCTGGAAGACTCCTCTGGACAATGCGGGGTCTTCTAGACACAGCTCCACCCACCCACCCCAGAAAAGTGAGATGTTTCTGACTCAGGGAAAAGGTGGACACCGTTGCCATTTAAGTCTAAAGGTCATCAGGCTTCAGAGTTCCCACCTCCTTGCAGTGAACAGGCGTTTGCACCTCTGTGTCGTCGTGATTCCAGAATTTCTTTTGGAAACAAGGAAAGGTTCTGGCTGGAAGGAGAGCTGGGCGAGCTCTGCAGAGCCTCCAGGCTCAGCCTTCCAAGGCTGCAGCAGATGCGGCTCATGGCGGCTCACACATGTGGTATCGCTCCCAGACTTGGGAGCATCAAAAATAGTGCATCTCAACGTTGCAGGAATAAGTTTAGAGATGACTAGTTGTGGGGAAGGAGGGTTTTACACTTTATAAATAACTTTTTGAACCAGAAGCAATAGAATTTCTTTTTCAAAATTCAAGATAAAAGCAGGGGGAATACCACGTCTGAAAACTCTTAGAATTTCATGTTATGATATCCCATGTCTGGCCTATCCTTCCCTTGTCACATGCCTACGCACATTCTCTTGAGGAGGCTCAGAGAGGGCTACACGGCAGCTGTCAGGTGCGGCCTTTCAGTGTGTTGTGAATGTGACATAGGTCAGCCCATTTTCTCTGCCCCTCAATGAAGCTCCCTGGGCTGGAATAACACACG